TATGAGAGATGCAGAGCACCAAGGTTAAGCGAGATGATGGATGCAACAAAATCATTTGTTCCCATTTCTTACTGATCGTTCTGTTCTCCACTTTGAGGCATTTGTGGTATGGAGGTCTTAAAGTTTATATGTAACAAACAAGCTGTCAGTAGCCCCCCAGCTACAGCAGCAGCCTGGCTTTCCTTCACCCAGGCTGGTTATTCTAACACCAAACTTTTAACAGTTGTGGGTTTGGTTGTTTTGGGTTTTTTTTTTTAATTTTTTTTTTTCTTTTTGAAGTCGGTTGATGTCTGAAAACCATGTATAACTTTTAGTTTGTGAGAAACTGTATGGTTAATGTAACTTTGTTTAATAACAAAACTGCAGAAACAAAACTGGAATAGCTCTACTTTCTTCATATAGAACTGATCAGCTTTTCCTCTGTTCTGACACTTGTGTTGTTGAGTCTCATGTCAAGCTTCTCCCGGGTGAAGTGGAAAGTGGTGCGGTTTTGTGGCATGACTAGCATTTTTCTCCATGAGAAATGCAGTATTACAGCCCTGGGTGAGAAGTTCACTGTACTCCTAGAACGCTAAGTTAATTCCACAGAGTATTTGGGCAACGACTGAGCGTAGATTTACTTGAATTTTCACTAGCTTGTTGGTTTTTTCCATTAAAAAATAAACACGTTTTTTAAGGGGGTTTAATATAAAATTAGTCTAGAACTATTTCACTTTGTTTTTATGAACATGCCACATTGATAAGCAGCTTTAATCTGTAAAGTTTTTGGTACCTGCAAGAAGATATTCGAAAGCTATGCATTTTAGAGAAAGCATAAAGGTAGTGATATTGGTACTTCTAAGGATCTTTATATTAGTGTATATAAAATAGTTTGCATATACAAATATAATATATAATCTGTTTGAAATATTCTTGAATGGTAGGGGCTGTGAAACATATTATAATTTATGGAAATATTGTACACAGTAAACAGACGTCTCAGTACACGAATGAACTTTTGTCATATGCATGAGAAGTGTCTTATTTGGTGACTACTAATGGATGGGCTTTTGTTAACCCATTTTTGTTAGATAACCACTTTAACAAATATTATTAAATGCCACTTTGATCAGTTTTCTTTAGTGTAAAAATACATATTTTGTTCCACTGAATTTAGAACATAATGAAAATCACTTCTGTAAGAAGATTTGTTCCAAACTCAACGGTGGCAGACAGATCTGGTCATTAAGGGTGGTGCACTCACTCGTCCTCCCCCAGCCTTGCCTTTGGTGAAAGCAAATCAGATTTTTTTCATTAATGCTTTGTATGTGAAGCAGTTGGGTTGTAAAATATCCTGTCATATGCCCCTGCAGAAAGGCTGCATAGCAAGTGTGTTTTGATTAGGCTACAAATCTCCCTCCTTTTCCCAAAGCCATCACCTCCCTGGTAACTGTCTTTGCTGTTCCCGTGTTTTGTTTCTGCCTGTCAAATCTAAGCTGAGCTGTGGTTGCTTCTGTTGTACAATGGAGGGATTTGTGAAGGGTGGGGGATCACAGGCTTCCCTGAAGTGCTGGTGGTACCTTGAGAAATACTGAACTGCTTAATTTACATAGCTGGAAAAGCAGAGGCTGCTGCACAGAAACTTAACAGCAGAATTTTGAGTAAAGCATTTCCTCTCAAGACTTTTGAAGAGGCAAACATACACCTTGAAGCCAGGTGAAGTACCTCTCTCTCTTTAAGATGATTTCATTGAAACACTTTCAGCTCCTTCCACCCACATTGAAAGAAAAATTGAAAAGCACGTGGAGAGCATTTATGTAGCATTTGAAATGTGTGAAATTACCTGGAAAGAATTCTGCCTCCTTTCCGCTCCTTGTACATACAGGGGAAGCCATTACATTATTCTAGGGTGATTTTATTGTTTTTAATTTGTAAAATTTATGCTTTGTATGCTTGAGTATAAGCTTAAAGGCGTTACTTAAAAAAAAAAAAAAATCCTTGACTAGATGAGTGTTGTTTGACTTATTTCAAACCTCCTCCTGTCCCAGTTGGGTACAAAGCTCATTAAGCGGAGTTGGAGCGCGGTCCCTGTGTCGTGTCTTCGCAGATACCAGGGCTGCTGCTGTCAGCCATGGCTGAGAGCATCCTTCAGATCCAGCACAGGAAAGGGGATGGAGTCAGGTTTTGCCCTACATCTGCCTCTAGGCTACAGGTTCTGACCTGCACTGTAGATCTCCCTACCCTCAGAAGCCATGCCAGCGTCAGTAATTGTTTGTGCTCTAATCTCCTTAATGAAAAGGGACCAGGAGGGTTTTTTGCTGTGCTGAGCAGTGGTGGCCCCAGCCCTGGTCCTCCTCTCGCTGCTTTGTGTGCTCAGCTGAGCACAGACAACACAGAGCTCATGAGCAGCACCCTCAAAACGATTTGTACTTCCCCATGGACACCTCGAGGTGCTACAAACTATTTTCATTCCTTTCTGCTCCCCTCCTGCCTTCGTACAATAAAATTAAGGACAAGGTTGGTCAAACTACTGGTGGGCTACGTGTTGATGCATTCAGGCACCTTGGATGAGAAAGCCCTGTGTGTTGTGCTTTTCATGTTACATGGGGATTCACTATCCTGCTACCTTATACCCCCCTGGATGAATTTTCTTATTTTTCAGTGTACTGTTGTCTAGCGATTTTGCAAAGTTCTATTGAGCAGTAGAAACCCACATGTGTTTTCTTTATTCTGTGGACAAGTTGCTTGAGACTGCCCTTGGTTAGCAGGGAGCTTTCAAGCTACAGCAGGCCTGTCCTTTCAGGAGACAACAATTATCCATTATGGAATATGTGAGCCTATTGCTCCTTTCACACCCCTTCAGGATTTGCTCTTGATCTGTGCTTAACTTCATAAAATCTTCAAATAATTGAACCATTGTGTGGATAAACTACAGTGATAGTAAATGTCAGGTCAAATATTAACCCAATAATCTTTTGTTTGGTTTAATCTTTTGACAGATTAAGCTGAACACAGGAAAAACCAGAGGAGATTATGTTCTGCTGTAAGATTATTTTTATTTTCTGTACTCAGCACCTATCTTCTGAGCTGATTCCATTTGCCATTTAATCAGCCCGGTGGGAGGTTTGCTTCCAGCAAATCATACAGCCATAAAAGGAATTATGTCTCTGTTTTTACTTTTAAAACTTATTTATGTGCATGTGATGGATGTTACACTCAAACACTTCTTTCAACTGCAGCTGGTTTTGACAGTGAAAGTAGCTTCTGATTTGAGAGGCAAATTAGTCAAGCTCCTAATTGAAGAGGTGACACTGAGTAGTACAAGGAGAGGAACCAAAGAGTACACAAAGAAGGAAAACTTATGCTTGACTTCCAAATTGACTGCTCACTAAAATTATGATTCAGTGTTGCAGTGTCAGTGTTGGAGATGTTTGCACCCCACAGCTGTGAGACTGAACACAGTACAACTCATACCTGGGTAGGAGATAAGTTTTCAGTATTTGTCATTGCTTTACCATGCCCAAGACCTTTTCAATCCTTTTCTGAGCTTATTACGTGAATTTCACTCATGTAGTTACATCAGTGCTCATCTCCCCTCCTGCCTCGAATTAACTGAACTCCAAACATACACACAATTTTAAAAAGATAAACAAACAACATATTGAACAAGGGTTTACATGTTTGGATGCAATTTACCATGACTTGGCTCCCTCTTCTGGAAACGGGCACAGTAGCAGAGTGATAAAATACTTCATAATTTTGTTTCCTGCCCAAATAAAGGGAGGGAAGCCTACAACCAGATAAAGGCTAACCTGTGGTTACTACACGTGGTTCCCCTCAGTAAAAGCTTGTTTTATTTGTTTTCTCTGTCGGTAGCATGTCTGTGTGACCATATGTGACTGCCACAGGCCTTTGGGATAGATCTCTCTCTTCTGAGTAAAAATACCAAAGCAAAGGATAAAGTAGGACTTAATGATTTTTGCTTTTTCGGCAACCTCCTTCTCCTGGAGCTGCCTCTGGTGTAAAACCCTTTTGCTATTCCACTCTCAAAGGTTCAGCTCAATAATACTGTTCTCCCTCATGACTTAAATAGCAGACTGCTCATCAGGGACCTGCCAAAGATTCATGTTGGGAGAATAATGTGTAAATTACCTAAATATTAGTCTGCTAAAGGCTTAAGAACAAGCATTTAGAGGTTGCTGGCAGCAGGAGCAGTAGGCAGGAGGTGTCTGCCCTGCACCTGCGCGTTTTGGTGCAGCCCAGAAGCTCAAGTACCTTTCCCAAGGGCCATGTACGACCTTGCTCAGGCTGTGCGGGAGCTTCTCCATCCTCTGCCGAGCTGAAGTTTTGCCGTGCCTGCATCCAGGCTGCTATCGGCCACAGCATCGCCTGAACGATGTCTTAACAAGGCTCCTCCGCCTGCTCGTTCATGTTCTTGAAATGAGTCACGAGTCCTTTTGTTTTGGACTGAGATAACATCATTTTAATTATTTATGTCCATAAAGGAGCCTGGTTATCTTTTCCAGATACTTACAACAAGGCAGCACTTCTGTCCAACAGAGTTAGATCAAGCTGTAAGAATACTTACCCCTATTTAATTTTTCCTCAAATTCTTCGGATGGGAATACCATACTCTGTTCCAATCCTTTAAAAAGCAGAGACTTTTCTGCCGGCAAACCTGCGAAAGCTGTGGGAGCAGGGAGCGGATTCCCCTCCCAGGTATCGGAGGGGCAGGACACAGCCTGGACAGTCCCCTCTTTCCCTGCCCTCCACGGGGGCGTCAGTAATTACCGGAGGGGGAGGAAAGGAGCCGATCCCAGCCGTCCGTGGGGGCTGGAGCGGGCGAACATCGCCCGCCCCGGGCCGAGCCCTGCGGGTCCGAGGCTGCCCCGGGATAGGGACTGGGGCTGGCGGGACTTCCCGGAACGAACGGCGGGCGGGGGCGGCGGGAGGCGCTGACACGTGGCCGGCCCGGCGGGGGAGGGAGCCCGGCGGCCGCCGCGATGTGAGCCGGGGAGGCGGAAGGCGCTGCCCGCATGGCCGCGGGGGGCGGCGGCAGGAATGTGCCCGTGGGCACCGCCGAGCGCGGCCCCCACGACGGCATGAGGCGCGATGGAGACCCGTACTGGTCCAGGTAAGGCTGGACCCGCTCCCGGGAAAGCCGCTCCCCTGCTCGCGGGGCTCTCCCCGCATCCCGCCGGCCGGTGCCCTCCCGGCCCCGGGACCCGCCGCATCCTCGGTGCTCTCCTCCCACAGCTCCTGGGAAAGATGCGGTTCCTGGATGGAAGGGGTCGCGCGGCGGTTTCGGTGCTCCCCGTCGGGCCGAGACCCTCTCCCCGGCCCCGGCGCTGCCCTCCGGGGGCACCGCAGGACGGGGTCGGGGGACATGGTCCCACCCGCTATCTCACCCCATCAACCTCCAACAGAGACGGTAGAAGGAAGGGGGGAGATAGGGAATGGCCGTGAAACACGGGGGAAAAACGTCTGTTGAGTTTATTTCTGGCCTGTTGTCAGTGAATCAAACGCGAAACCGCTGTCAAGTTCTTATCAAAGTGTTCCAGCGGGGATGTTTGTACTGGCGATATTCATTCATTAAGATAAAGTCTGGAATAGTAGCTGGGCAGCAGCTAGACAGCTTGAATTGCTCCTTAAGTAAAGTAATTAAAATACTTAAAAATACGATTAAACCCAAACTGACCACTTTTAACAACAGGGGCATGGGCAAACACAGGGTGCTCCAGTGTTTGGAGCAGAAGCTGGGACACTTGGGACAGGGCTGCTCCTCTCTGTCACCCTGGGAACGTCATCCAGCACCTCGACCTCAGGATCTGCCCCTTCTCCCACCGAAGGTTGGATGAGATGATGATTCTGAAGTACCAGTGGGGCAGCTGGAAGTGATGGTCAGAGGGTTTTCCAAACTGGGAGTCCCTGGACTCCATGTGCTTTTGAAATTTGGCTCAGTTTAACACTGCCACGAAAAGGAACTGTCTTGTGGCTGCCACTGTGGTGGGCACCCCTGGGGCTCCCCTCTGCCCCTCTGGGCTGGTGTGAACCCGTGGGGAACTCGCCTTGGCAGGAGAGCAGAGGGGCAGCCGCAGGGCAGGTGGCAGCGGTGCCAATGCATGGGAACATGTGGCCAAAGGGAAGAATTGCCCCTTTCAGCTGCAATTAACCATTGGATAAATTGGTATTTATCATCAATTGCTTCCTGCAGTGGCAGCAGGTCCATAGCCAGTTTTAAATTGCTGTCCCAAGGGAAACTCTTCCTGCAGTCAGAGACCGGGAAGTCTAATCAAACCCACGCTCATCTCGAGAGTAAGGAGGTGGGTCTCAAGAAGGCCTTTGGCACTTGGACTGCTTAAAATTTGAAGATTCTTTCCCCCTAAGGCACTTAGGAAAATTCCTTCTCTCTGTCTACCTCTTGCTAACTTTTCCCTAAGTCTTTGTGAAGTGGGAGTGGTGGGGGGGACCCCACACCAGATTTTTATGAAGCAAAACTTTAGTGTATATGTTTTTCCTCTAGAAAAAAAATATATATTTGACCAGAACAAGCCCTTCAAATCTCTTCAAAAAATGCAAACCATCGATAACACTTTCCAAACCAAAATGCACTGCGATGAAGACAGCCTGTTGTCTTCAATTTTGTCTACCTATTTTAAATGATTCTGACCATTTTAAGTGCTGCTAGTAACTGTGAAAAACCTGTTAATGGGAGGGAGCAGCAGGATATCCCTAAAGCCCATCAGATCATTATCTATATTGCTATAATTCACAGAAGCTGAGATCATGTCCCCATTGTTTGCTGTAGACACACGTGTGGTCACAGCCCTTATTTGGGGAGGTTTTATGGAGGTTTTTATTGCCTAAGTAAACTGGGCAGATCGAGTGTGGGACAGAGGGAGCAGAAAGGGGGAGCGATGCACCAGATCACTCAAGCAGGTTGCTCGAGTTCTCTAAGGTACCTCACTGAGTGGTTTGGTGGACAGTTTTGCAACAATTTCCAAGTAGTGAGTTATTGCCATGGAGGCAAGGTGTTAATAAGTGAGGGAAGTGACACAGGTTCTCCTTTCATGCTCCAACAAAAGGCATGCCAGGCAGCCTTCCAAGATCAGTCCCCACCATCAGTGCAAGGAGAGATAAACTCTTATCTTGGCAGGTTTCTTTTTCCGTCTTTGTTCATGCTGCTGCTTCTTTTGTCCTCCCTTTTTTCAGATGGCTTTTCCTTTTCCACTATTCTTGCCCTGTCTTTCTCCTGCCTTTCCCCAACTTTTCTGCAGGTTTCCGATGGCTCCTTTATCACACATCACGTCTTCTAAGAACAGCACTTGGGGATTTCTATTTGGGGCTTGAAAAAGCCCACGTGTTTATGTAGCACATCTGGACAGTTATAAAGTGCTTTTTAATGCTGATCTTAACATGCCAAAGCAGGACTACTCAGGCAGTGGACGTGTTTAAGCATCTCTGGTTTAACTGGGGGAAGCAGTGAGAAGAGAAATCAATTGCTGAAGGTTGCACACAAAGCCACGAGCAGATCCAGCAGTGGACGTGGGGTTCACATTTTGGATGGTGCCTCCAGGAGAGAAATACAACGTGGAAAAGTCGCTGTGTCCTGGGAAGCAAATGACTCCTGAAACCGCTCTCCATCTCCCAGCCTCTGGCTACACCTGAAGACAAGGGGTGATTACAGCAATTTCTTTAAGCTCCAGAGATAAAAGGAGTCTTACCATCGGCCACAGGCTGGTCTCCAGTCGCCTGACCTGCTCTTTGCCCAGAGACAACGGTCACGTTGTTTTTTGAGTTCTGTGCTCTGATCTTTTGTACACGTGATGTTGCAGCTTTATCTGGTCGGGGTGTTTTTGGTGGTTGGGATTTTTATTGTACAAGTTCCTCACCCTAGTTTTAATCTTGACCTTGCTGAGAACTTTTTTTCACGTGGAAAATGTAAGCAGGACATGCATTTCATTCCTGGCTGATCTGTGTATGTCCTCACATCAGTGTGCAAAGCACACCTGTGCTTTAATATTATGTTTTCTCACCACCTCCACTTGGACTCAACAACTATTTCCAGCTCATATGAGCTGATGAAATCTAATTTCATCTTTGCTTTTGCCGAAAGCAAGAAATGAAGAGAGGGAATAAACCCAGAGCTCTCTTGCTGAACACCACTTTGTTGCCATCTGTGGCTCTGAGGAGGGAGCTTGAGCACAGGAGGCAGACAGGAAGCCAGCAGCTTTCCCAGGAAAAAAAAGCCCTGTGTCCTCTGTGCTGCTCTTGTTGGCTGCTAGCTGGATTGGGAAAAAAAAACCAACCAAACCTCCTCTAAACCCCAAAGCTACTTTTGACAGCGACAGATCATTAGCTTGGAGCCAGTCTGCAGCATGACAAAATAAACTCCAGGAAGGGGGGAAAACCTCTTTCCTGACAAGCATGTTAGATTTTCAAGGGAAGGAGAAGTTGTTGTTGAGAAAAACAAAGAGTGAGAAGTGAGAGGACTGTCAAACTGGGTTAAAAATAACTATCTGGGTATTATCTCGTCACACAGGAGTGTGCACGGCTGCTGTGTTTGTGCCGTGTCAGTCAGTCCTGGTTGTGTTGGAGGTCACTGTAAATTAAAGCCGTGGGCAGGTAAGCTGGAAAAAAGGGTTTTGAAGGGTGAAGATCCCATGGAGCTGGGAATGGCTGACAAGGAGGGAAATGTTCCCGTACTGTGGTGTGACAGGTGACCAGGCACAGGGGAACCCACAGGCACTGGCTGTGTGTCCTGGGGACATTCCCCTGGAGGTGGCCTCATGCTTGGGCGTCCTGGGTTTGGAGCTGGTGGCGTGGCTGGGAGCTCAGTGCCACCACATGGGCTCATCTCCATCCTCTCTGGGGTTCTTGCAGGGTCTGGTGAGTGGTGGCTGGGATGAGCAAGAGGGCTGCGGGCACTGGAGGTGACTCCAGTGATGTGCTTGCCACGTATCTCCCACAGAACTATTTTTATCTCTTTTTAGAGAGGGGAGCTGAGGTAGAGATGCCCTCTCTGGGAGGAGGGTGTTAATGCTGTGCTATCAATACCTGTGCCCATCTGATGCAGATCAGGAGCTGCAGCTCCCAATTCTTCTTCCAGTTATGGAAAACACCCACAAACATTGGAGATGGCTTCTGGCCAAGAGCTGTTGCTGGGACAGACTGTTCGTAGTCTTGCTGTCTAACACAGCTCTCTTACCACCTGAAAACACCCAGCGGTCCAGACTCATGCCTTGGAGGGGGGCAAACTGTGATCTAATTGATTGCCTGAGCTCCAGCAGGTCCATCTCAACAGTGACCTGCAGTGTCTGCCAACAGCCCTGCACACTGGGGGAAAGGAGGGAGGCGAGTCAAGAGAAATAAAGTTGAATAAATATTTGCTCTGTGGCATCTACTGGAGAAATTCCTCCAGCAGGAAAACGCACAGCAAATAAAGATAGCCTGTGCTGCTGGCTCTCCTTCCACTGCCGGATGGCTCAGCTGGGTTTTGTCCCTTTGGGAATCTCAGGCATCCTTGAAAATCCATCCTAACCACCATGCCCTGGGCGGGGCATCCGTTGGGTTGGTGGGAGCTGGGTCCCAGGGAAATCAGTGGATGCTTCGAAGCAAAGCCATGACCACTCAGTGCCTGGGGCTGCATTTGGAGGAGGAGAACCAAGGAACATCAGGCAGGGCTGCTGCCCTACAAAAAAGCCACCCAGGATGAGTCATTAGGGCTTGAGCTAATTGTCGTCTGTCTGGGTGGTGGTTGGAGGTTTGTGAAATAGGAAGTGTTTTCTGGCTGCATGACTGCTTTGCTTGGTGAAGAGGGTCTGGGTGAGGTGAGAAGGGTATGCACCTGCAGTGCCTGTCTCTTGTGAGCAGAAGGGGATGAGGGCACAGGCTGGGCAGTGAGGAGCTGCTGCTGTCACACAGCACCCAGTGAAGGCAATTAGGTGGCTCCAGACACGCTCCAGTGATTCACCTGGTGATGGTCTGGAGGGCTGGCCCCTCTCATGGGGTGTCTGTCACATGTAGCCAGGGCTTGGCCAGGACTGGCACAGGGCTGTGGGGAGGTGCTCGATCTGTCCCTGTGGCTGGTGAGACAGGACAACAACGGCTGTGACTTCCATAGGTTCAGATGTGCTTTGCTCTGACTCAGGGTGGTTGTTTCCAGCACAGCTTATCCCTCCCTCCCTCCCTCATCAGGGGACCCATCAAATTTAATTTGTTAACGTCTGCTTCTCGGGTGGCTGGTGTCACCCACAAAAACTTTTGTTTGATTTGTCATTATTCCTTAGTTTTTGAAGGAGGGTTTTAATTCCTCCCTTTGTGCTAGTCCAGGTTCCTCCTGTAACCTTTGCTGTTGTTGTTTTGTACTGAGCAGAACATTGAGTCATCAGCAGCCTCTGTGATAGCTATAATTAGGAGAAAATGTATTTACAAAGCTCTTTCCTCTGATGCAAGCATGTCATTGTCCTTGCAGAGAAATCATTCCTGCCATGCTTTCAGGTGGGTGTGGGCAGCTACTGATTACATTTGACACTCTCATTATTTGTGTGGATTTTCCTAGCTGGATATGCCACCTATGGAGGAAGTGGTAGTCTGAAGATGTTGTTACAGTTCCCACTTAATTTGAGCCCAAGTCTCTGCTGATGCATTTAAACATACAGGAAAAGAATATAGAATGGAGTAGCAGTCAAAGAGAACACTGAGATTGTGTCATATACCCAGAGACTTATTTAGTGCTTTGGAAAAAGAATTAAAGTCAAGAGAAAAATATTCCCTGGAGTTCTGTCAAAACATCAGCTGGAGAGGAGGCTTCTTGGGAGAACATCTCTACTTGGGAGTCCCTCTGTATCTGAGCTGTGCTTTGAGTGGTGTCCTGCTCTGCAAAGACCCACGTGGCACTTTGTGGCCCCACTCTCATCCAGGTCAACTTGCTGTGTGGAGACCCCAGCACTGCTGGCCTGGCTGCTTCCCCCCACCACCCCAAACCCCCTTGGGTGACTCTCTCCACCTCACTGGGGCAAGAGGAGAAGCTGTGAGTTCACAACATGCCCTCCTGTGCCTCTTCCCTGAAGCCAGAGCTGCCCTGCTCATCCCTGTTGGGGTTCAATCCCTTAGGACCAAACTGTGCTCCCCCAGCCTGCACTTTCCTGGGACACCGACTTTGCTGTGTGTGGGTTTTGCTTTTCCCAGTTGCAAACACCCTCTGGAGGGGACAGACCTTGGCAATACTATAAAGAGAAGTGGAGTAGAGAACAGTTGAGCTGCTCACGTCAAGCTTACACTTTGCACAGCCATATAGAGTTTGGGGACAAGGAAGAACTGTCAATCTGATATCCCATTGAAATGCTGCTGTGCTTGCCAGGTAACTGGGGGTTGTTATGAACACACCAGAGTGATTGGAGAGGCAGAGCTCAGCCCCACTCCAGTGAAAGCTCATGAAGGTCTCTCTTTGCTGCAGGGGAAAAGCACAGTTTAGAAAACTGTCTTGGTGCCTAAAAAATAGAAAATACCTACACATCACTGGCTGCTGTGCTTTGCTCTGTCACCTCGGTTGCTGCAGGTTCAATAGCTCAAATTTATCAGTGCTGTGCCACTGGAGATAACAGGAGAGATTATGGCCCTGGACTGGCAACAGCCCATTTGGGCAGGGCAGGCAGGAGTCTGTGGCTTGTACCTGCAAGCATCTCATCCCCAAGGGCTCTCCAAAGAGTTTTCCATGGCTGGTGATCCCACACCTGCCCTCTGCCTCTGATGGGGGATTTATACCCAAAAACTCCTGCCCGTACTGTCCTGCTGGGGTTGGTCTGACCTGGACACGGTGTCCAGGAGCCTTTGGTTTCCCTGTGCTTTTCTGTAGCAAGCAGGAGTTGGCAGAGCCACTGCTCCTGGAGCTGGCTGGGGCAGGTTATCAAAAACCAGATCACCTTTGGTTTTGCAGCAAATGAAGATATGAGTGAAGATATCTCCCTCTCAGGGTAAGTCCTCCCCACAGGAGGGACTGTGGGAGCATTTACCAGCCTGTTCAAGTGGCAGAGGCAGGTCAACCCCTGGTTACTTATTCCTCCATCAGAAATGCATCAGGTTTTCCAGTTCCTGTGTTATTTTGTGCGCTCGTGTGTGTGCAGAGCAACAATGGTTCCAACCTTCAAAACACCAACTAAAACCCTTGCAGTCCCTCCTGCCAGAGGTTGGCACTGAGCTGCTTATCTGCCTTGTCAGGAAACAGCAATAAATCCACCTCCAGCGGGTTCACCTGCCCGCCGTGTTCTACTTTTCATTGTTCCGTTTGACACCTTTATAAATGGGTTTGTGCTGTGTGGTATTAACCTACATTTAGCATAATTCCAGTACAGAGGAATAAATGCTCCATTCGCTATAAAAGGTGACCTGGGTTGTTTCCCACACGGATGGTGGGTGTGTTTAGTAGGGTGGAAAGCCCAGAGGTTGCTGCCCTGGTACAGTGAATTCCTTAGCCATCTCTGGAGCAAAGAGAGTCTGTTTGCTCGGTGCTCTGTGCTCTGGCCTCTGGGCATAGAAATAACCAAATACAAATAATACCAATAGTGTGTGTTCTTACTAAGTTTTTAACTCCATAATTCATGGGCGAAGGGGGACCCAAAGTGACACAAACTGGGCTGAGGGAAGGCAGAGGGATTCACCTACACCTGGGCCTGATGTTTGCAGCAAAATGTGTTTCTTTGCTCCAGAAGCACATCACTGACTTGGAGCAGGAGGAAATTGCCTTCCCACTTATTTCCAGCCTATATCTCCTGCAGGAGCACTTTTCTTGGGGCTGAGTACTCATGCACCAAATAACATATTTTGATAACATATTATGGCTCATGTTACCTAAAACTTCTTATCAGGCCAGGCTGAATTATTTTGCTCCTCTCTGAGCTCTTCAGCCTCATCATGTGTTGTCTCTCTAAAGAATTCCTTCATCTCTCTCCTATTTTGGGAAGGGTAGCATACACCAGCTCCCTTGGGGGTTGGGTAGGAATGCCAAACTACAAATATTTGCTATTAGGATGGTGTGTTTCATGCAAATGCTTCCAACCTCAGGCCCTGACCTTTCCTTTGTTAACCTTATCTTTTAAAGAACAGTTTCTTGTTTGGGGAAGAAAAGCAAACAAACCAGGTTCCTCCCCACCTTTCCCTCCATCCACAGCCAGTGATGTCCAAGCAGCCCCTTCCACCTTGCAGCCTGTGGACAGACATTTTGCTATCGGTGTCAAATATTGCTTGGGCTGAAGTTAGCATCATTCCCAAAAGCCACCAGGTGGGATACTCTCTCTGTCAGAACCCTTGTGCCACAAGGGGGTTGCAGTGACCTTCATTTTATCAAGACAGACGTGACTTGTGAGCAAACCAGCCCGACCCGTAAGTCCTCTCTGTGCATGGACCTACCAGGCACAGCATCCCAGCTGCCCTTTCCCCATCTTCCTCTCCACCCTCACAGGCCCGAGTCCCGTGTGTGGACGGTGATGCTGCTGCTGGGGACGTGCCTGCTGTACTGTGCCCGTGTCACCGTGCCCATCTGCGCCGTCGCCCTCAGCTCCTACTTCGACTGGGACAAGAAGCAGTCTGGGGTCGTGCTCAGCAGCTTCTTCTGGGGCTACTGCTTGACACAGATCATCGGAGGACACATCAGTGATCAGTACTGGAAATTTTTCTTATGTTTTCCTCTGTTTTTTGAAGATGTAGCTTGGTGTTGGTGCCTCACCCTGGGGCAGTGGTGGGGTGGAAAACTGAAGCGTGTCCATGGGGAGAAACTTTGTGGGATGCTGCAGGTTGCTCTGAAAGGGGTTGAGGTTTCTCTGCCAGCCTCACTCAGGGTCTGTAGCACTGATTGAGAGGGGGCATGGGTAGTTTAGACCGTCCAGTTAGAAGACGTGGATACCTCAGCCCTGGAAGAGTTCAAGGCCATGTTGGATGGGGCTTGGAGCAACATGGTCTAGTGGAAGGAGTACCTGCTCATGGCAGAGGGGTTGAAATGAGATGGTCTTCAAGGTCCCTTCCAACTGAAATTGATTCTAGGATTCTATGAATACAGCTTTTTTTTTAATTTGATCTGCACAGTCTATCTTTGTTTTCAGTTCAGCTTGTCCAGTTTTTCTATCCTGTATTGCAGTCTTTTCACAAGCAAGTCTCTGAATACAGTTTCCATCATGTTTGGAAAAACCAAGTGTCTTCACTTTATCATAGAAATTAAAAAACATATTCCCCAAGTGGTTGTAAGGGAACATCTGAATCATTGCCTGCTGGAGTTCCTTTCCATAGCCACCCTATTCTTAGCGAGGGGGGGCTTTCCTGTGAAATGTTTTGTGAGGAGCACATGCCTGGAAGGAGTACATTACCTGTGCAGTGCACTGTGCTGTTTAGTTATTGTCCTGAATAGTTTCCAAGCAAACACTTGCAAAAACCTGAATGTTAAAAGGCAGAGATGATGCAAAAAGGCAGATGTAAAACACTGTCACTGGTTAAGAGAAGCAGAATAGTGGCAGCACTTGGGTTTCTCCTCCATCACCATCAGAGACTTGAGTGTGTCAGTGCTGTTTGGTCTCTGGGATCAGTGTGTGCTGGAGTTGGACAGGCAGCGCTGGCAGGAGGTGAGAAGGGAGGAGATCAGAACTCCTTGCCAGGTGCTAAAGACACGTGAGAGAAGAACAGGTTTGACCCAACAGTTGTTTGTAAAAACTGGCTAAACTGGGAAGGGCAGTTGAGTCTTGACTGGAGCACTTTGCCCTTTTGGCCTCTCACCTTTGATAACGTGTTTTCTGTCTTCCAGAATAGGAGGTGAGAAAGTCCTCCTCCTCTCAGCATCAGCCTGGGGGTTCCTCACAGTCCTCACCCCCGTGCTCACCCACATCACTCCTGCCCATCTTGTTTTTATGACCTCCTCCCGGTTCCTCATGGGGTTGCTGCAAGGTGAGACCCCTGGCCTGTGTCTCTGTGTGCCCGGGGGGTTTCCCTGCACAGGGATTCATGTGCAGTACATTCAGATTCAAATCCTGTGGTTTGCAGTGAATGAACCCTTCCCCTGTGTGTCTGAGCAATTCTCTGCCTCAAAGCTGCTTCCACATCCAGAACTTCCATGGGAAAAAACAGTGACATTTCTAGAGAAAGTCACTGACAAGTCATTCCCCTGTAGAAATCTCTCTGCCAGACAGGGGCTGCTGGCTTTGGAAATCATCACTGGTGCTGTTTGATTTTCCACGTTTTCAAACTCCTTCAAAGTACTTGGGGAAAATCGGCTCTTTCCAGAACTTCTGGATAATTTGGGATGATTTTCCGTCCCTGTTGTCAAGCTACAGCACTGAAGAGGTGCCTTGACACTGATGGATTTACAGTAGCAGTTGCAGTGATGATGAAATGGGGGATTACAGAGAAGGCTCAAACAAACCTTTCATGGCAATGGGTCCACTTAGTTTATTTTATGTCCCTGTTTTGAGTCCACCAAGGGGTTTGCTGCTTTATCTCAGTGTTCTCCTTCTGGATCTTTTAAATTTGCTTTTGATTTGCCGACAATCCTGACTGTTCCCTGCCTTGCTCCCGTTGCTTTCAGGGGTGTATTTCCCATCCTTGGCCAGCCTGCTGTCCCAGAGGGTCCGGGAGAGCGAACGAGCCTTCACCTACAGCACAGTGGGGACTGGCTCACAGTTTGGGTAAGTTCAAAGGCCTTTGAGCAGTGAGTGACAGTCTCTGGACATCATATGTGATGAAATGCCACTAAATAGTTGGAGGCAAAACTCACAGCCCCCAAAGTACATGTGGATTCACGTGTCCTCAAGGACACAGGCTGCAGCTGAGGAAGCCTCAGGCAGTTGCTGTCGTGCCTGTCAAGGATTTATGTATTGTTTTCTCTTTCTTTTCAAACCAGACTTTGAAGAGTGTTTGCAACATTTAATTACTATGGGAAACAGTTCAATTCAGTAGGAAGAGCAAGGGTCAGCCTGAGACTGGTCACCTTTCCACTCTGATAGGTGGGGAGAATAGAACTTCCCCTTCTCTGCTGGTCTCCATCAGAATTTCCTTTCTAAATAGGAGGATTTCTTAAAAGCCAAATAGAAATATTACTGTGTTTAACCACTTAGTTTTCCAGTGTGTTTATTTCTTTTGCTGTGTTGTGCATTCTCTGAGATACTGCACACCAGCAACCTCCTTTTCTTTCCTTGTTGTCCGTGTTTCAGGGTGGGGCAGGCGAGGGTGAGGCCTCTTAGGGTTTCTCCTGCCCAGTGAGGATCTGGCCTGAGATGCCACTCAGGGAATAGGGCAGGTTTTGGAGTCACAGGGGGAATGGGCAGGTGGGCAGCACCTGCACATGCAGTGAGTGAGAAATTCTTCCCTGTGAGGGTGGTGAGGCCCTGGCACAGGTTGCCCAGACAAGCTGTGGCTGCCCCATCCCTGGAAGTGTTCAGGGCCATGCTGGACAGGGCTTGGAGTAACCTGGTCTAGTGGAAGGTGTCCCTGCCTATGGCAGGGGGGTGGAATGAGATGATCTTTAAAGTCCCTCCCAACCCAACCCATTCTGTGATTCTGTGGCTCAGTGACACGCAGTGTTGACCCCAGGATGTATTTCCCATCTATGTGCACAGTCCAGGCACTCTTGGCCAGACCAGTAAATTCAAATGGTTTCCCTTGCAGGACACTGGTGATTGGTGGTGCAGGATCCCTCCTCCTGGACTGGTATGGCTGGGAAAGCGTTTTCTACTTCTCCGGTTTGCTCACTTTGCTCTGGGTTTACTGCACCTGCAAGTACCTTCTGAGTGAGAAAGGTAAATCCCAGGCATCCCTGGGCTTGCCAGTGCTCCCAGGGCTCTGGGAACTGACTGATTCCTCTCTGTTGTTTTCTGCAAATCCTCTGTGTTTCCAAGATCATGCCTGGTTTTGCACTAAGACCTTTTGCTCAAGTGTCTTCTGTAATGCACGCTGTGTCTCACCCAAGACCCCCAACCCAGAAACGAGGTTTTGAGCTCTTTCAACGCTGATTTCCTGTTTCAAGTCCCACGCTGGATTACATCCCTGATCTGGCTCCTCAGTACTCTTAAGCACCAGTGAAAACACAAAACAGAGCATGATCTTCAAAGTGGATTAAGCTAAAGCAGGACAAGATACTTATTCACAACTAAGAGCATCTACACATAGAGCTTTTAAAAACCCATTAATCCAGAATATCTCTTCCGAAATAACTGTCTGGGAGTAATTCTGCATATGGACAAACCATGACACCTGGCTACAGCATTATTAGTGTGAGCTTGATGTGTAGAAGCTGAGCTCATGAGGAGCTGGGTGTGTGTCTGGTGCTACAAAGAATTCAAATGTGGTCCCTGCCCAAGGGATTTTTGTTTAATTATTACAAGGGGTACAAATGGGTGGAAGTGGCTGAGTGGGAAAATGTGTGGACGCAGTGGAAAAATTTTGGTCAGTGTAACAAGGTGTTTTCATGAGCATTCAGTGGTGGCATAGCCAACAAAACAAGACCAAAAAACAAGGAGATTGAAGGTAGTTGTATAGCAGTGTCCCAGGGCTGCCTCCAGCTGCACAGACAGTTACTGATCAGAGCTTTCCTTTGGCTGTTTTCTTCCCTGCAGAACTCATCATCCCCATAGACTATTTAACGAGAGGCCTCTCGATATCCAAGCAGACCAAAGTTCCCTGGAAGCAGCTGTTTAGGAAGGCACCGATATGGTAGGGAGCTGCAGTGGCCTTGAGCATCAGCTGGGCTGGGGAGCACCCTCCTTTTTCTCCTGTCTGGGCTTATTTCTTCTGCCTCTGTAGTTTTTGTCCACTTATTTAAATATTTGGGAAACAACCAGGTTTTCTAATTCCTTCTGTATCAATAAAGAACTAAAAAGGTAAGCTTGGCAAAAGGTGGTTTTTGTTTTGTCCAGAGGACTGTCAGGCTTGAATATTGCTGGCAAATCTTTCTCCTTCCCAGGCTGTTCCCCCTGGATGAGTCATGTGCTCCTCCAGGCTGATATTCTCCACCAGTCTTCTTAGAAATGCTGCTTGTATTGGGCTCCTAAGAAGTGCTGCACTGGGGCACTGAGTGGCACAGGCTGTGTTCTCATTGCTGGCAAACATCTTTTTAATGGCCATTTTTCCTTTGGGATACTGCAGTGGATATTGAAGCTCCTCCAAGCATGTGCCCAAGTGCTGTTTCAAGATGCAGGGCAATAAGCCCGTTCCTGCCTTGAATAACAATGGAGCTGATAACAAAACCCTAGAAAACCCTAAACAACACCTCTTGGAGCAGGAGGACTCTAGCAGCACTGGAAGGGACCGGTGGGAAATGCACTGGCATAATTACCACTGCAGTTAACCTTGCCTGAGCCTGGGGCTGACGTCAGGCACTGTGTGATGGGGCAGCCAAGGAACCAGCGCTGCTGCAAAGGGGAGAAAGCCAAATGGAGTTGTTATCTGTGAGAAAAATCTCAGGAAGGAATTGCAGTGCTGTGAGAGATTTCTTTATAGACCAGGAACTGAAATATTGGGTTGCTCAAGTGCCCGTTTCCCACCCAGTGTGACCTGTCACTCCTGATTGTTTCCTCTCCGCTGTGTGTTTTCAGGGCTGTCATCATTGCTCAGCTCTCCACAGCCAGCACGTTCTTCACTCTCCTCTCCTGGCTGCCAACTTTCTTTAAGGAAACTTTTCCTGAGTCAAAGGTAGGTTGGCTCCGAGGGGCAGGCACTGCTGCTCTCTGTTCAAAGGGGGTCGTGCTGGGTACCTGCCAAAATGGGTTGGTTAGGGAGGAAGGTGATGGCAGAGGGATTTGGTGAGAGCAGGCTGGGAGTCAGGAGGGGGTGGGAGGTTTCCATGTGGGATTAGGAGCCGTGGCACCCCTGCACATACATTTGGAGGTGCCAGCATCCTCCCTCCAGGTTGCAGAGGCTGGTTTCTAGTTGTTTGTTTAGGGATGCTGAGGGGAGGCAGAGTTGGGGCACTTTCCAGGCAGGGAAGTGCAGGTTATATTTGGGGTTTAGACTGCTTTTCTTCTGAGAAAACTACAGTTTTCAAATGGCACAGAGCTCATGACATTCTGCTGTTGCAAATAACCACCATTCACTCCTGATTTTTCACAGGGTCTTTAGCTGGACTGACATTGTACAGCTCAGACCTGCCTGCTAAAATTAAAATTACCATTAATACTGTGTGCTTCGAAAATACTACAAAAGCTTCCCCCTCCTTAGCACAAATGATGTTCCCATTTTTCAGAAAGCCAGGCAATACTTATCTGATCTGAGAGCTGGTATTTTCATCTTGTTCTCAGAAACTCACAGAGTCTTTTCCACAATGGCTCTGTTAGGTTTTTTACAATTTCCAGAGCTGCTTACAAATGCCTTTTCATATTACACATGTAAAGCTCTTTATGGCATACTTGATATTTATATTAAAATCGTGTATTAAACCGGCAAACATATTGTTGTGACAAGATCTGTGCACCTCGAGTAATGTGCTTGTGCAGCAGTAATTTACCATCTGTTAAGCATTATATCACGGTGCCCTTATGTAAGATGCTCTATATAGTGTGTCTGCAGCTGATAATCACTTCATGTATTTTAAAACGTGGTTTGAGGATGCCTGCATTTAAAGGATGGACAATAATCCCTGATGTGGGAAACCTGTGTCACCTGCTGGCCAAAGTCCCTTTCTGCAGGTGAGCTGCCTCACCTCTGTCTGGGCAGCTGCCTCCAGCCTGCCTGGAGGTTGATAGAGGGTTTGGATCAGGGTGATGGGCTGAGGGATTAGACAAGGTGCATTGGGATTGTCGTGTTGAGCAACCTCAGCTGGTGTTAACAAACACCAGAGGCATTGCCCCACAAACCCCATGGGGCAATATTTTCAAAAGTGACCAAGACCCAAATTTCAAAGGCATGGAAAGATGCAAATGGACACTGGTATGATTTCCAGGAGCAGCTGAAACAATATTATTCAAACCCAAGATTATTCAGCCCTCCCACACATCCCAAAGCCAGGCAGGAAGGGGAGATGCCTCCACGGGGTGATGGACTCTGAGCAAAGGGAGACATGCAGGGGACGATGGATGGATGATGGATGATGGATGGATGCATGGATGAGTAGGTTCAAAGGAGCTGAGATGAAGCCCAGCCCAACCCACACTGGTTTCAGCTCCTTGTGGGATCTGGGCACTGAAGTGCCCCTGAGCAGCTGTAATCCAGCTGACCAGTAATCGGCTGTGATTACAGCTGTAGCAAGCTCACTTAATTGAAAATAGGCCAAAGTATGTTACTGCCCATAATGTTACCTAATCCTGCCATTAGAAAATCCAGCTACACTCCCTCGGCCTCACAGTAACGCTGCTAATGAGGTTGGAGCTGTTGGAAAGTCTGCTTTGCTGGTGACCCACAGGAAACCCACAGTGAGCTTCCCAGGCTCTCTGGCTCTCTGCCACATCATTATACTGAGCAGTAAACTTTGCCACATTTAACCCCTCTTTCTCAGAGCTTTCTGCCTCTCCCCTGGATGAAGAGTCACCAGGGCAGAAGGAAAGACAGCAAACCTACAAATGCTACTGTCCTGTGATGCACCTGCCCCCTTACAGAGCTTGGAGTGGGGCAGGGTGCAGCTGAGAGCTGGCCCTGCAAATGGGGTACAGATGCTGCAACAAGTCCCAAGTGCTTCATTTTTCCCCCTCTCTACAGATACTGTGGACTATCAAATAAAATATTTGCAAACAAACTCAGCTCTGACAAACCTCTCTTGATTTTCACTCTGTTTCAGGGTTGGGTGTTTAATGTAGTCCCCTGGCTGGTTGCAATTCCAACAAGCTTGTTCAGTGGATTTCTGTCTGATCATTTAATCAGTCAAGGTAAGAGCCCTTCTGACTTCTCATCAGCTCTAATTTTATGGGATTTGGAGAGAGGATGTGAGTAGGAGGAGATGGGCCTGTTGGTAGGGAGAAGACCTAGCAAATAGATAATGTGAGGTTCTGGTACAACAGCAGAATAAACACTCCAGTGTCCAAATCCCCTCCATGTGTTTGGGGCTTGCTTTAATCTCAGTCATAATATCCACATGGAGATGAAATCTGGGCATCTGAAATCCACTTACCCCATGGTCTCCTGGCTGGAAAACAAGGAGAACCTGATGTGCTGAACTCCTACTCTGCCTTTCTCTTTCAGGGTACAAAACCATCACCATTCGTAAGTTCATGCAGGTAAGAGAGCTGAAGCCACGGGAGAGACACCCAAGTTACCTTCTGAGCTCTACTTACATGTCAGACTAGACTTTGTATGGAGCTGGGTTGGGGGTTATAGGTGGAAAGAGGGAAGGTTTTCTGGCTTTGATTGGTGGTCAGTGTGTGTGGGAAAGGAAATCCAGAGGAAAACCCTGGCTGAGGAACAGAGCGTGGACCTCTGTTAACAGTGGACTAATGGTAACACTGAGCACAGTGAGTGCTCTGAAGGGGTTTTCTTTCACAGGCAAAGGCCAACCTGTCCCTGTTGTCACACCAGCACTCTGAATGACCCCTTAGATACTGAGGAAGTAGCAATACAAGGGTGAACAAAAATAGAAATGCTGGGTGAGAACACAGTGTCTCCTTTGCTCTGCAGCATCACATCCGTCTGGACAGACATCTGACACAGAAGGGCAGGACACTGGGAAAAAAAAAGGCTTGAGAAGCACCTGGTGCACATGAGCTTTTGCACTGGAAAAGGGAACAGTTTGTTCGTGACATAATTTGCTTTCTTCCTTACAGAAAATGTGCTGTGGTGTTTAATTTTGCCTTTTTTCCAGGTCATTGGCTCTGGCGTCTCAAGCCTTTTTGCTCTGTGTCTGGGCCAGACCTCCAGTTTTTGCAGAGCAATAGTGTTTGCCTCCGCCTCTGTTGGACTCCAGACCTTTAACCACAGGTAAGGAGAGCGATGGGGACAGGAGCTGTGGCCCTTTGCTCTCATCCCACACTTGGCATTTTGGGGTCTCGGGCAAGGCTACCTCCATCCTGCCTGTCAGAACAAGAACTGGCGCTTGCCTGAGCATTGTGTGTGAAGCCGGTGGAGTTTAGTGCCTGGGGGGGTGGAAATGATCCAGCAAACCTCTAGTGTGGGAAAGGGCTTGGACCAGCCAGTATTAGAAAGGTGAAGCAGGGGAATTGCATTTTGGCCCTTCTGAATACTTTGAGTTGAATTGGTTTTGAATTGTTTTCCTTCTTATGCTCACCTGGACTGCTTCACTCTCAGCTTCTACTCCTTTCTTGTGCCATTTCTTGTCCAGAACCTTTCCTTGTGTTTCACAAACCAGTCTCTGTGTAAATGATGAAGAAACAGGCGTGTTCCATTCAAACAGCCATTTCTTTCCCCTTTTCTGTTTCTCACCAGTGGCATTTCAGTAAACGTGCAGGACCTGGCCCCCTCGTGTGCTGGCTTGCTGTTTGGTAAGGATTCTGTGGGCTTTCCATGCTGGAGAGGTGGCATCTGCGGGTGGGACATGGTCAAGGTTTGAGTAAGGATGGCTCTGGGCAATGTCCACTCTGTGTGTGCAGCTTCAGCTTCCTTCTGCAATAAACCTGCCAGTGCTGGGGGCAGGTAAAATGGCACCAACGTGCCTTTGGACCTGCACCCAGGGCTGGGATGGTACTACATTTCAGTGGTCTCTGTCAGTTGTCCAGAGAAGCTGTGGCTGCCCCATCCCTGGAAGTGTCCAAGGCCAGGTTGGACAGGGCTTGGAGCAACTTGGGCTAGTGGAAGGTGTCCCTGTCCATGGCAGGGGTTTGGAATGAGATGAGCTTTAAGGTCCCTCCCAACCCAAAGCATTCTGTGATTCTGAGATCAACAAGGCATTTTGCCAGATGTGCAGACTGGGGGTTGGTGGGAACCGGGATGAAGCTGCTCATGTCTGTGGGTTTTGAACACAATTTCTTTGTTTTCCTTCCAGGGGTTGCAAATACAGGTGGAGCCCTCCTAGGTAAAGTACCTTCCTGCAGCTCATCCTTCCCCAGAGAGCCCTCTCCCTGCAGAGGGCAGGATCCAGCCCCAGAGCCTTTGCATGTCTTTCTCTTCTCTTCTGTCACAGGTGTCATTTGTGTGTACCTGGCTGGTTACCTGATTGAAACGACTGGCTCCTGGATTTCTGTTTTTAACCTGGTGGCTGCTGTTAACAGCATTGGGCTGTGTGTATTCCTCCTGTTTGGGGAGGCCCAGAGGGTGGACACAGACTCTGCTTACGTGGATCTCTAGGGATGAGCCCAGTGAGCAGCCGAAGGACAGGAGAGTGTCACGTCTATGTTGCACAAGTGCCAAAGAACATTTTAACTTTTTTTTTAGGTGTTTTAACGGGAAAAAAATATGCTGAAACCAAGTACATAGTGGGTCTGGATGGAACCCATGACAGAAAAAAAAATGTAGAGTTTATTTTTTGCTCAGGGTGTAGCTGGTGGCCTGCAGAGCCATCCAGCTCAACATCTCCAGCGAGGATATGGTCTGTGGGACCAGTTTGTCCCAGTTTGTGTCCGGTGGACAAATATCCATGTGGCCGAAGGAGGTTACCTGACCTGTCTCCCAAGGCTGCTGTGGTTCCATGCTCTGCTGAGGAGGAGCTGCTTCTCCGTGCAGGAGCAGGTCCCCCCCTGCTCTGCTGTCCTCTGACCGTCCACCTCTGGGCTGCTGTGCCACACGTGTCCTCTGAACTGTGTGACAGGGATTGTCCCAACGAATGTACCTCTGACCTTAACCCCCCCTCCCGTGCCTTTATTTGCAGCCAGCTCAGCAGGTACCAGCCAGGTGTCCAAGGGTTGTGAGATGAATCCCAGGCTTCCCTTCAGGGAGTGTCTGGCTGGATGTCTGCAGTGGATCCAGGGGCTGTGTCGGTCCTGACAGGAGGCTGCAGAGCAGAGCACTCCAAGGCAAGCCTGTCTTTGCTCAAGGACAGAGTTCAAGGTGTCCCTTCTCTCCCAGGTGGCTTTACCCCAGCCCTGAGCCCAGGCAGGCCAGCTCTACCATGAGAGCAGAGCTGATCTGCCATCCCCCAGGGTCAGGCTTAGCTGGGCTCACCTCGTGGTGCAGGAACAGCTGAGGAATCCCCCAGGAGCTGTTTTGCCAGATGCTGTGAATGTATAGGAAGAACTGGTCACATTCTGTGCTGTAGATCTACACCCCCAAATGTGTTCTGCTGGATTAGGTGTGTCCTCCATGTGCTCTCAAAGGGCCAAGGGAGACTTTCCAAAGAGACTCACACGGGCAGGTTTTGTTTCTATGTTGAGCATAAACCAAATTTCTGCACTGGGGATCCATAGGGATGGGGATCCCTGTGGTTCCCCGTGTCAGAGGGAAATACTTGGCTGTAGACACCTCTGAGCCTGAATGTCTTAAGTTATTTATAAATATTTTAAAATGTAAGCACCAAATTCTGTATTTTATGTATTTGAGGCCTGACTCTGCATGCTTATTTTTAGTGGTGCTCCCACCAAATCCCTCACTATTTCTTGAAGGGGAGTATCTACCAGCCTCCAGTATTTGGTTTTGTAGGATGAAGTTTAAATGTGACATTTCATATTAAAGCAATTCATTGCTTTTCCTCCTGCCCCTTGCTTGAGGCTGAAAGGTTCTCTTTGGTTTTTCCAGTGCTTACCAGAAAACTTCATCTCTGACTGAGGATCAGATTTTCCAAGGATTTTGCAGTGCAGGAAAGCTGTAGGTTCAGGTTTATTGTCCTTAAAAAAACCCAGTTATTTCCTTCTTTACCTTTTGTTTTGGCCAGATTTCTTCTTGGAAGACCTGTTGGAACCATGTTAAATTTCTGAATAGGTGGATTTGTAGTGAAAATAGTGACAGCCTTTTGATTGCAGAGACACTAATGGGTGTCACTAAACTGAGCTGAGCCACTTACTGGGCATATTAAGAGATAAAGGTGCAACTGCTTGATATCTTCTCAAGAGAATAAAAAATCAATGTGGCCTGATTAGGGACAGAGAGATAAGAAAGTATTTTTTTTTCTCCTTCTGTGCTTTTTTTTCCTCTAAAAGGCTGTTTGCTACGAGGAAGACTGGTGGGAAGTCTTAAAATCGGTGGATAACACTCAGAGCAAACAAAGCCAGGCTTGCCAAAGAGGCCCGAGGCTGTGCAGCCATCTCTGCCAGCTTGTCCTTTGTCCAGTCTGAGCAGATTGCTTGCATGGCCTTTTCTATAGCGACACAGAAAAAAAAAAAAAAAGATGTTTTTTGTGTCTTTTTTTTTTTAGTGTCTTCCCTGGCTGTTCAGTGTTGCAGGTCAGGAGCACAAGGAGTCAATCCTTGCTCTCTTTGCTGATTGCACCATTTCTTGTGAAAGAGTTGATGAGTTTAAATCACTCGCATTTGAACCAGGCAGCTTGGCCACCCCTTGGCTCTGCCAGCTGGGAAATTTGGAATTGAGATCTTCAAAGGAAAGTCAGCGTGGCTGTCTGTGCCTCCTCTCTAAATTCAGCTAACACTGGTGGGCTGTCCTGGTTGTCTGTCTCTGCAACTGGCTAACAAGTTAAGTATTTGACTTGAGCTTATGTTTCATTATCCTCATACCTCATTGGTGAAGTGCTGAAACCATTTTGCAGACCTGTTCTGTTCTTTGTTTAAACCACCTTGCCAAAGCTTGTGGTCTGAGTTTTTGTTACAGAAGGACCTGAAAAAAAATAAAGGCAGCCAATCATTTGCAGACTGTGGCTTTCCTTGGACTGCAGAGGTGTTAATTTGTGTGATCAGTAAGGGACAGACAAGTATATTTGATGTGATTAACTCCTTAGGGGGGGCTGTGCTGGGAGAGCATCCCCACGTGTATTCCTACATCAGACCCTGAGCACAGCCAGCTACATCTTCTCACTGCTTTTGGAAAAATGACTGAAAAGCTGCCTTCAGCAGAGCTGTGGTCAGTACAGCATCCATGATCCAATATCGCTTGAGAGTAATAATACAAACAAAGTGATTCTTGCGTTAGGTGGGATACACCCCGCAGACAGATCACCTTCCACGTGGAGACCGTGCTAAAAAAAAAAAAAAAAAAAAATGCTTTGCTAGCTTTTTTTACGTCCACGCCGATAGGTTCAAACAGATGCCAACAGAGGGAGCTGTGAGATTTGGGAAGTGGCAGCTCCGGCCGGCGAGAGCTGCCGCGCCTGGCCCTGCCACAGCTGGCACAGCTGGCACAGCTGGCACGGGTAGTGTGGCTGATGCAGATAGTTTGGCTGGCACAGCTGGAACGGCGGGCACAGCTGGCAAAGCCTGGCCCTGCCGAGGAGCAGCCCTGGCTGGTGGCTCCCACCACCATAGCTGCCCTGGGGAGTCCCAGGATCTGCTGTCCCAGATTTGCTGGGACCCCTCACATGGCAATTGTGCAGTTAGTGGTGGGGAGCAAAGGAAAAGTTTGGGGGGCATTTTAGAATGAGAAATAGCCACTGAAAGGAATTTTAACACCTCATCTGTAGGGTCATGTAATCAAGAGAATATCTCTAAATACTGCAGAGTCCTCTAATTTTCTCTTCAGTGTGCTCAGAAATAAAAACCAACATGAAACTTGATGGTATGAAAATGATGCTGACGATGATTTAGGGTTTGGGTGCAAGTTATCCTCAAACTTTCCTGTCCTCTTGCTCCTCTTATAAAGGTATAAACAACCTCTGACATACACACATGAGCTATTTTGACCTTTTAGGTCCTTTAGGTTAGAGCTTTTTTTTCTGCCACATTCTTTAAATTGTCTGTGTCACAGGTTGGACCTGAGCTTTCCAGCCTGCCTGGAGCAAACAGGGACAGGCACAGTGCAAAAGGATCTGGGAATGTGTGACTGGGCTTAAAGGCTGGTCAATGACAGGTACATTGTGTTGCTGGTTGGGGTGGGTTTGTACTTAAATTGTTTGGGAAATATTCCATAGCTGGCTGGAGATCATTAGAAGGATACTGTTTTATTGCAGTTTGCATAACACTAAATCAATAAACACATTCAAGCAGATGGAAAGCAAAACACAGGAGAAAAATAGCCCTATTTGGAGGAGAAAAGGAATAGCAAAGAGCACTTCTTGGTGATAGTTTTGCCTGGAAAACACAAGCAGATGCTCTCACAGCAGAGACCTGATCTAACATCCACCTGGCAGCTCCCCAGGGCCGGGACATGCCCCAAAGACACCAGTTCTGCAAAGGGCACCCAGTCCTGTTACAAGCAAAATATCACCGTTTATTGCAGCCGTGACCTACTGCGTGGCATGTAATGAGGAATTTTCCATTTCAAACTTTAATGCAATAATTAAGATGTCCATTAAGGTCTTTACAGTTTGGCTGCTTGTAATTAAAAAAGGGAGTGGTGGGGGGGGGGGACAATGGCAGGGAGTTGCAGTCCAGGGCATCAAGCTCTCGCCAGCAGCTCTATGTGCTCTCCACTTTCTTCTTCCCTATTTGGTTTCTTTCTTCAAAATCATTTTCCTGTGTTTGTCTGTAACTGTCCTCAGAGCAGGTAGTCTGAAAAACACATGAAAAACAGTCTTAGTTTCCATAAGCATAACTTGGGTTTAAAAAAGAGGTTTTCCCCTCTGCCAAAACACCTCCAAAATACTGATCCTCCTGCAGTGCAGTTTTTGGGGGTGTCTCTGAGCAGGGGATCCCTGGGGCTCTGCAGGCTTCACCTTGGGCCAGCCTGCCCCATCCAATGGCCCTGCAGCAGCTCTGGGGACATGATGTGAGCCAGGACAGCCAAGCTCCATGGGCACAGTCACAGGAATAGCCCAAAAGCACAGTAGGACCATCAGCTTCAGGGGTTTTATGCTCCATTTGGTTTCCAGGCTGGTGTAGCTCCTGCTTACAGAGTTCCTGGTGCAGACTTAAGGGTGGGGTAGGTTTTAATCCAATAATGAAATAAGAAGAACCCCCCATATAAACCCACATCTTCCCAAGTGTCTCTGCTCCTGGGAGGCCAAAGTCCCATTATCCAGTAATTGGATTTGGCCTCTTAAAGCAAGACTGAAATACTGTAAAATTTTGTTCCCAAATCATCAGATTTTTGCAAAGGATTAACAAAAATTAAAGGTTTGACTGAGGAAGTAGCTTCCAGAAAAGCTTTGGCTGATCCCTTGAATCCTTTCCCAAATTGCTTTCCCCTGCTCTGTACAGCTCCCGATTTACTGGTGACTTGCTCCTGTTCCTCCAAACACACCACTGGGCATGATCTCCTGCAACTTTGACATTCAGTATTCTCTAATAAATTTTTTCTAATTTCAGCTCCAAAGGAAAAAAATTTCAATCCCACTTCCGTGGAAGACAATGGAAAGGTACACATGTAGCAATTATCAGGAGGACTTTACACAAAGAATTAGCAACCTACTCATGCATGTCCTGCATTCTCATTAAAGGCAAACTGTTTGTGGGTGACAGGGGATTTTCCTGTGCAACCACTGAGGCTCGTTGCAGCTGTTAAATTATTCCTTTCATGTTGTTTTTTTTTTCCCCCTCTCCTACCAAGTTTCAGACAAACCCACTCATTTACAAACTCTCCTGTGTACCTGTGTGAGTTACAGGTGAGGTGGATGTTTTCATGAGTCCCATCCTCAGCCCTTCAGATGCTCTGAGCCAGTGTGAACCCTGGCTGGTCACAGGAGCCTTTCTGTGTTTTGCTCTAATTTTGCCCCACATGAGACAAGGGATGGCCTGTGCCCATAAACCTGGTGTCACAAATTTCCTGGTGGCAGTCACCTTGGTGTGGTTTTGCTGCTGTGACCAACCTGCTCTTCAGTGCCTGCAGATCTGCTCTGCCTCCTCCAGCATCTTCCCTCCAGCTCCTCCATTCCCTGCTTCAACCCTGTCCCAGACACTCTGCAAAAGCTTATTTAACAGGTTTGGAGGAGCATACAGGGCCCCCACATGTCCCCATGCTCGTGGGAGGGAGGATGTGCTCTCTTATTCTGCACTCCAAACACTGGTTCTTTAGCAAAATAAACCCCCTCAACAAGAAATTTTATCAGCAAAAGCATAAACAGATATCAGAGAGGAGGTCTGCAGATGAGTAATTTATCATGATCTCTTATTTCATTTTATTTGAGCCCATCTGGGGCCCAACTGTGATTTGCAAAGGTCTGGAGGCTGCAGTTCTCACTGCAGGAGCCACCTGGGCCAGCGAGAGCTCAGCGTAAACCTCCATCCTGGCAATCTCATTTTGCAGCAACCTCTAAGTAGGACACTCAATACAACAAAGTGGTGACCCGAGAAATGTTTGCACAGCCCTGGGCTGTCCTTCCAGGAGAGTCAGTGCTGGTAGGAGATGGGCTGTTCTGCACCTGGACACAAGGTCTGAACCCAGGGACCACGATAAACCCTTTCAGAGTGGTACCTGTTCTCTGCGGGATTTTGTGCCTGGAGATACCTGGGAGTACAAAATTCAAATTTAGCTAATTTCTTACATAAATGATGCACATTGAGGGATTAAAACTACGGGGAAATTTTGATTCACCTCCAAATCAGATTTTTTTTCCTGGCTCATGAGTCTGTGACGAGCTAAGCAAAAAGCTTTAGCCTTTATGTCACCAACTCTAGATGCAACTCTTTGTCCTTTGAGCCCTCTTAGTTACCAAGTGATCACTTTCAGCACCCTCAGATCATTCCAGTGTTTTCAGAAATGTACTGTGTAATTTTCATTCAAGTTAGGGTAAAAATTACTGAAATCCAAAGGCAGAGACAGAGCCTTGAGATGGGCAAACTCTTCCTGGCAGGTTTTGAAAATATTTCATATTAAATTGAGGTTGAAAAATTGGAACTGTTTGCAAGAGCTAAAAGATAAATATGCCTGGAAACAGCTGTATTTTAGAGGGTTTAGGAGGGAAAACATGCCTGAAATAGCATCATTGAGATGTATTACCCATAGCTTTAAATGATATGGCTAAAGCTGTTCAG